TTCTGTCTGGTCCTTCGCATTTAGGGTGAAGAGATTGTGTCCCAGGATTCCCAGAGGAGCACAGCAGAAGAGAGTGAGGACGGTGGGACATCCCATGCTGCCGAGGTATCTGAGAGGGCATCAGAGTCTGACCCCAAGGGCTGCACTGGGGATGGAATCCAGGGCCTTTGCACTGACCTATATCCCTAGCCTTTTTTGATACTTATTTTGAGACGAGCTCTCACTAGGTCTCTGAGTTGCCCAGATTGGCTTTAAACTTGTGATCCTCCTGCCTCAGACTCCCAAGTGGCTGGGATTATAGGCATGTGCCACCATACTCAGCTCCCTGCTTACATTTATCATCAAATACTTCTATTCCAGTCTCCATTCCCTTCAGTTACCACATTGTTCTATTCATGTTGATTGGTCATTTGAGACCAGGTCTCATTATGTAGTTAAAGCCAGCCTTAAACTCTGTTATGTAGCTCAGGTGGGCCTTGAATTTATATCCTTCTGCCCCCACCTTCCCAAATGCTAGGATTATCACACTTCCAACTAATGGTGGAAGCCTACCACACCCAGCTTCCATTCCCACGAGAAAAGCTTCTTGGCTTTTATTAATGTTTGAGAGCTTCCCCCAAACAATTATACAATCTTAGAATTGACTTGAATGCAAAGCCAGTCTGAACTACATAATGAGACTTTGTCTCAAAAAGTAAAATGAAAAAGGCCACTGTGTTCTCTCTTGCTTGTTGACCCACCCTCACACTGTAGGGTGTGCTTTATTTCTCCTTTTACTTGGTTCAAACTCACTCTGCAGAGCCAGCCTGCCTGCCTGCCCGCCTTCCCGCCTTCCCTCCCTCCCTTCATTCTTTCATTTGTTTTGGATTTTTTCTTGTACCATGGATCAAACTTGGGACCTAGCACTTGCAAGACAGTGTTGGAACCATTAAGCTAAATTCCTGGTCCTGCAAAGTCTTTCTCTTTTTCTTTTCTTATTTTTGGTGCTGAGGATTGAACTTGGGACATTGTGCTTGCGAGGCAGGCGGCAGAACCACTGAGCTAAATCCCCAGCCCTCTTGTTATTTTTAATAAAACGTTACTACTGTTAAAAAGAATAGAGCATTTGAAGCTGGGGCATGTTACGACGTTGGAGGGAACAGGGATATAGCTCACTGGTAGAGTAGATGCTTAGCAGGCATAGGAGCCTGGACTCAGTTCTCGGCACCAAAAACAAAAAAAATCCTTTTCAGTTCTCCATGAACTCATACCTGCAGTCCTCTAGAAGGAGAAGACGTTTATGGGCCGGGGATTTAGCTCTGTGGTTCTGCCGCCTGCCTCGCAAGCACAAGGTTCCTGAGTTCGATCCCCGGTGCCAAAAAAAAAGAGTATTCTGAGTGTTCAGAAGATGAGTTGAACCATATGAACACACAAAAATACAAATGTAAGAGCAGTTGGTCACAGTCCAAGCCTAGACTCAGAGGCTGCCACAGAAGAATAGTAGAGACCCTTGTTCCTTACTGTGGTACAGATGTGTGTGCAGATCTGAAGAAAGCTAAATAAAAATGTGCATGTTTATCTGCTATCTATTATTTGGGTGGTTTGGGACTACCTAGAGGGCCACATAAGAGAGTCCCTTCTGTGGAGCCTGTTTCTGATGAAATTAGATGCTGATACAGAAGAACATTTAGTGTGAAAACTCCTTCTGTTTGTAAAGTTTTGTTTTATTTGCACTTCTGTCTCATTCTCCTGAGGAATTTTGGGGTTGTGATTTTACTGGCAGTGTTGGGCATTGAACCCAGGGCCATACACATGCTAGGCAAGCACTGTATCACTGACTGTATCTGTAGCCCTTCCACTTTTTTTTTTTTTTTTTTTTTTTTTGTTCCTTCCCTTTTTTTTTTTTTTTTTTTTTCTTTGAGATGAGGTCTTACCAAGTTCCCGGGCTGGCCTTGATCTTCCTGAGTAGCTGGGATTATTGCATGTACCTCTCAATAAAGAAAATCAAGGCAAACCATATTCTTTTAACGTGGTTCTTTCTGCTAAGCAAACCTCCATGCGTGAGTTGGAAACCACCAATTTATGATGGATTTCTTCTTATAGATACCAGTACTTATTTTTGCGGTACTGGGGATCAAACTCAAGATCTTACACTTGTGAAGCAGGTGGCAGCACCAACGAGCTAAATCCCTGGCCCTGCTGTACTTTGAATAACGATTTCATTTTATACTGAATGATACTGTGGCTTTCTTACTATGTCACATTTGTGCAGAAGAGCTGGAAGGCTATGGTTCACTTGTAGATTGAGTTCACTTGTAGTATGCTATGAGTCAGTATCAAGGGGACCTCTGTTCGTGGCCTTGGCTTAGAATTACGATGTCAAGAATTGGGAGAGTCCATTGCTGACTAGCCAGCCTCCTGATGTGGACTCACACGGAACACTGCAGTGAGTGCCAGACCTTCACCTGGATTCTTGGATCTCCAGTGTGCAGGCAGACCCTCTACACTCTTCCATATCCACTTTGTGGATGGCCATTCTGCCCTTCTAACACTCTCTGAGAATGATTAATGGTATTTCCTAGACCTTCAGCATCAGACATGCAGGAAGATGGCAGGTGAACAGCAGAGAAACAGACTTTCTGAGATTTGGTGTCCATACACTGGAATATATGTGAGGAAGAGAAGGGAAGTGGTCCCAAGGATCTGAAGCAAGAATTGAAGGCTGTGGGGACCGAAGAGGGAGCTCTTGTTGGAGAAGGAGATGGCAGGCAGCACTTTCTCCCTGAGCTCTGATTCACTGTGTGGAGGGGTGGCTTGAACATGCAAATGTGTGAGAACTACTGGCAATCACAGAAGCCTCCATGGAGAGAGACGCACCAATGGAACAGAACAGTGGGTATAGCCTGAACTTCATCAGAACTGAAGGTGCAGCCTTGCTGGGATTATCAACTACCCCACCACAAGTCTACAGCTGGCTTGTTGGGATTAATCAACATGGATCTGGCCTCTGCCCACTCTTTTTTTTTTTTTTGGTACCGGGGATTGAACTCAGGACTTTGCGCTTTCAAGGCAGGCATAGTGCCAATGAGCTAAATCCCTGGCTCACTGTTCTCGTTTTTACAGGAGTTGGGAGCATTGTTTCAATTAAGGCCAGCATGGGCTAGCTACATAGTGAGACTCTGTTTCCAAAAACAAAGGAAAAATAGACCCTTGGTTTTAACAATAAAATTAGTATACTTCTACATTTGTGGGAGCTAAATTACAGTCCGTGGGGAACCATAAGTGACCTAACCAATTTCTTTGTCTTTTGCCCCTTAGGGTGATGAAAACAACAGAGAACAGGAGCAACACAGTGACGAAAGTGATGACAGCTTAGATTAGACCCCAGAGAAGCAGTCATATCCTGTGTGCATCCACTATCGTCCTCCCCATTTATGTTCAGGGTTTTTTTGTTTTTGTTTTGTTTTGGTTTGGTTTGGTTCTGGGTATCTTGTGTATCTTGTGCTTGCGAGGAAAGTGGCAGAACCACTAGCTAAATCCCTGGCCCCTGTGTACAGGGTTTGATAAGTGCTGCCTCCCTTTCTGCTGGAGGCAGCCTGTTTGTGCTGTAAGGGATTTTTACTTAACGTCTGGATAGATTGCGCATAGCTTGTGTAACATCACCAGAAGCCCTGGCTGGGAATTCCAGGGTAGCAGTTTTGTTGTTTGGCTGAATACTGCAGTGCTATGCTGAGTAAGCCCTTCTGTAATGATTCTGTGCTTCGCAAGTTAGTTTTGGAACTTAACTTTTTCTAAAATTTAGGCTTATACCAGTTTTACAAATAAAATTTTTTCAATGTTTGCTTCAGCTGCCTTATTCCAGTTTTAAGATTTCCCTCAATTTTTGCAGTTTCAGTGAAATTGAAGTTTATGCAAAGAAACAATGGGGACTGGTGCCAAGATATAGTTCTACTGCTCAAAATCATGATCTCTATTATAAGGACCCATCTTGCTTGCTTTTCTCGTTGCTGGGACAAAATACCCAACACCTGCAGAGGAGGAAAGATTTATCCAGCTCACAGTTTGTAGATGTCTCTGTCCACTGTGCTGGCTCCAAGGCAGGGTGTCGAGGCAGAGGAGAAACAGCTGGTGGCATGACAGGCAGAAGGTAGTGAGGAGCAGCAGCAGCAGCCTGCCTTCCCTCTCCCTTGAGTTCCATCTGGGCTACAAGCCTGTTATCTGGTGCCACCCGCACCCAGGATAGGGCTTTTGCTACCCACCCCTTAATCCACATTCACACTGTAACCCAGCTACCTTGGGAACTCCCTGCATATGAGTGCATAATACTCTTGGGGGACCTCTCCACCATTTTTACTTAGGATGAGAACATCTTTGTGATCTTTTTTTGTAGGAAAGACTTGAACTTTTCTCAGTGCCCAAAGAGGAATATTTTACCTTTTTAATTTTTTGGTCATTAAGATGAAAAGAGATCATCTAGCCTGTATGTTTATTTCCATAGTCTTCTGAGTTGTGCTTATAGTCTCACAAGACTGCTACAAAATTAGTCATCATTCATTTCAGCATTATGAATATACTTCAACTAAAATAGACTGCTCTCCTGTCTTCTGCCAGGCCAGTTTTAGTTGCTGCTACCAAGTTCTTGCCAGGTTGTAATAAATTTTCAATATTTGTTAATACAAGGCTTTAACCTATAATCCCAGAAGTCGAGAGGCTAAGGCAGGAGGATCGCCATGAGTTTGAGGTCAGCCTGGGCTATGTAGTGAGTTCAAGGCCAGCCTGAACCACAAAGTGAGTACCTTGTCTCAACAAAAATTAGAAAAAAAGGCCGGGGATTTAGCTCAGTGGTTCTGCTGCCTGCCAGGCAAGCACAAGGACCTGAGTTCAATCCCTGGTACCAAAAAATAAAGGAACCAAAGAAATACACATCTCTTTCCTTGACAACCTCTATTCTCCCCAATTCAGTGTCTTTGGTGTCTAAAAAATTTCATGCCAGACCCACGGATTTATATGGTTTAATGATTTTCATCCCATGTACAAGTCAGTGCTGGTTTGACTCTTGTCAGTAGTTGCCCAGCTCTACAGTGAAGTATTTTCCCTCCCTCCGTCTTAGCCTTTCTGGAAGGGGCTCCTCTGTCGTCAGCCCTGGACAGTGGTGAAGCAGCAAGAGCAGCATCACCCGGTTTGCGCAGGAGGCTCATTCTTAGAGCAGGCTGAGGTGTGGAGTGCGGTGGGTCCTACCTGGAGTGCTGCAGGGCGAAGGTGCATTTCTTGTAGGTTGCATACAGCAGGAGGATGGAGCGCAGCATCTGCTTGCACATGGTCATGGTCATTTGGATCTGGGGCTCCTTGAGTCCGGTGGGCCACTGGTGCTCCCGGCTGATGACTTTGCAGAAGGCCGACTTCTCGGAAACCCTGAAGGTCCCAGTCCACTTTGGGGGCTGAGCTGTGATGACCCTGCCAAAGACGGAGTCCACTCCGCTGAGGCGGATGGGCTGTGGCTTCCTGACCAGTCCTCCCTTGTGAACTGAGGTTCGGAGCTCCGACGTGTGAAAGGGTAGCTTGGGACTCGCTCTACTGTCCAGGAAGGGGCCGTCGAGGACTAGGGTGACTTCTTGGAAACACAGCTGAACTTCCAGGTCAGAGGGAGTGTGCAGGAAGCAGGGGGAGGCCCTAAAGGGGTGCTTGGAGGAAGGGTTTGGTGTGGAGTGCCGCAGCCATTGGAAGCTCTCATCCAGTGCAGTCCACGGTGACCAGAGCTGGTATCCTGCCATTGAGAGTCCTAAAGAGAGCAATCAGACACGGGGTTTCCCTGGTGTGCTTTGATGAGGGCCCACGTGCCTGTGCACATTAACAACTCTATCTCAGTATTGACTGGACACTTTGCTGTCCCCATGAGGAGATCCCCGTAGGTGATGGGGTATCGGTAATTTGATAAAGGACAGTAGGGGATGGTGACAATTATTGAATGTGGCAACTGCAATGTGTACAAAAACTTTATTAAACCTTTCCACAGGGCTCTCAAGGGAGGTTTTAACCTGTTACAAAGATGAGCAGGAGAGTATCCCAGGCTACTGTTGTGCATGTGCTGGGTTGGTGACTGCTCGTGACAGAATCCCTGCCTGTGAGGTGGTCTGGGTTATGGGGACTTCTTAGTGAGACATTATTTGAGATGAGAAGCTCAGAAAGGTACCTCTTCCCAATGCGCGACTAACGCTGTGCACCTTATGTCAGTTCTCAAAGCACGATCCCTAGGCTGGAAGCTTCAGTACCACTTGGGATCTTGGTAGAAATACAGCTTCTTGGGCCTCACACCTAAAAAATTCTGAGGGCCCAGAAGCTGCATGCATAAACCTTCCAGGGGATTTGTTGCCTCCTCCAGTTTGAGAATTACTGTTCTTTCTAAGTTACCTGGCTTTCCTTTTCTTCATTGTGGTGGTAAATCTCCTTGGTCCTAAAAGCCCCTGTGCTTGCTTTTGTGTTTCACTGACGAGAGTAGCACCCGCTGAGTCCTGAGGGGCTTAGGTAGTCTCAGAGGAGTTGCCACCAGGCTGGGAGGGGCAGCTTTTCCACAGACCAGTATTCAGAACTGCTGGCCCAGAAGAGCAGCTCAGAGAATGCTTGTGTGGTGTTCCCAAGGCCCTGGGGTTTGATCCCCAGAATCACTCACACACCCAAATTTTGGTTTTACCCTGGGTGTTGGTCTTTGCTTTTTCATCTGTGGGAGACCCACTGATTAGACCTTCATTTTTTTTTTTTTCTTTGAAGAAAAAGGGCTGGGAAGGTATTGCCAATTCAAAACATTTATCCAAATAAAATTTGGATTTTCCATCATTCTATTTTAAAACTGCCAGTATATAAGGGTTTTGCTCATTTTAGGAGAGCTAACATTTTTGGATTTTTTGAGCCTGTTGGGAAGTTCTAAAGGGAGAGCAGCTACTTATATGCCCTTGACCAAGGAAATGGTCCTCCTCTATCAGGGGTGGTCGTCCTGTGGTCCTGCAGCTTCAGGAGGGATGCACATGGAGTGGTAAGGGAGGAAGGAGACACCTGCCTAGCCAGCCATATCAGCCAAATCAACCCTGGTGATCAGTGGGGTGAAAGATACCACCGAAAAGTTTAAGTTAAAGGAAAAGTTAAAGTTTTCCTTTAACTTTGGTGTTTCGTTTTTTGAGATAGGATCTCACTATGTAGTTCAGGCTGGCCTTGAACTTAACATGAATCCCAGGCTGGCTTCAAATTGGGGAGGGGGTGCGATCTTCCTGCTTCAGCCTCCCAGGTACTGGGATTACAGGTGTGCACCATCGTGCCAGGCCTGCCTATTGGTTAAAGCAGTTGCCTTTATTTCCTGGCCAAGTGTATTTCTCGGCCCTTCTCACGGCTACAAACTACTGTGTACGAGCGTGCATCTGATCTCATCCAGCATCGCTTCTCAGCCTTTTGCTTAAGATCAAGTGATTTCATCCACTAATGGCCATCATCGTTTGTTAGTAGTTTTTGTTTAATCCTTCCAGTGTGTGGTATTAGGGCCTCATGCATGCCAGGCAGGCTATCACTGAGGTACACCCCCAGACCTTTTAAAATTTTGAGACAGGTTCTCATTCAATTCCCTCTGATGAGCTGGGTGTGGTGGTGCATACCTGTAATCTCAATTACTCACGTGGGAGGCTGAGGCAGGAGGATCAGTTTTGAGCCAGCCTGGGCAACTTCGTGATACCTAGCGTTCAATCCTCGGTACTGTCAAATAAGGAGGTCCGGCCTATTTAGTTTGTGTAACCAACAAAGAATGAGTGGCTTCTGACCCAGATCTTCCCATCCCTTCACACAAGGGTTAGTGGTACCGCCCCACTCCCAGCACCTCTTCCAGGAGGTTGAACTAGACACTCTGTTCACGGAGCGCTAATATCTTCCGGACAGGGGACACCTGGTTCTGACTAAAAAGACTTCCCCGCCAGACTTCCCCCCGTCCCTCCATTTCCCCACCTGGAAGAGGGGATGGCAGTGCCAGAGTGCAGCTAAGGCCCTTGCGAACTGTAAACAGACCCGAGAGGTTGGCGCGTGTGGACAAGGGCCTGGTCCGGGTCCCTCGCTTGGGCCTAGCAGAGGAGGAGGAGGCGGCGACGGGAGCCCGGGCCGGGCCCAGCATCCGGGCGGGGCTCACCCGGTGAACTCCCCACAATCCAGAGTTGCCTCCGCATCTTTCGCATCTTTCCTGACCGGGTGCCTGGCAACCGCCTTTGTGACCCGGACTGCCGGGGCGGGGTGGGAGGGGGGCGCTGGGTTGATGGGGCGGTGACCTCTCCACCCCTGCAGGAGACGCCCAGGTCGGGCCTTCAAGATGGCTGCTTTGGATCCCACCCCTCAGTTCTCCTCTCCCCACCCACCCTACCTGTGCGCAGGGCTCGAATCGCACCCTCCCCGCCGTGAGTTCCGGGACTGGAGCTGGTGTTAAAATTAGCCTCCGCTCTAAATCTTGCTTGTACGGCTGAGGGATCCAGAGACCTGAAGGCTTGTATTGCTAGATTCCATGGTTCCAGGGAAGGAAGCACAAGTTATGGATGCTTGCCTGTCAAGAGGGCAAGATAGAGCCGGGCGTGGTTGCGCATGCCTGTAATCCCAGCACTCCGGGAGGCTGAGGCAGGAGGATTGCTGTGGGTTCAAGACAAGCCTGGGCTACATAGTTTCAGGTCGGTCTCAACTACTAGTGAGACCCTATCAAGAAAAAAAAAAAAAAAAAAAAAAGGCAAGATAGATACATCCTTTGTTTTCTGACTGAGCACAGCTTTCCAGCTTCCATTCACCTGTCAAGACAATATAGGGAAGATGTGCATGTCTTTCACTACCTCGCCCTTCTAGTAAATCTCATAAAGAATGATTGTGTCTCATTTTACAATGCTGAAAAATGGATTCTTTCACCATAGAACTTAATGCAACAGCTTGGTAAACTCACTTCAGTTGTGGAAAGTTGAGGCCAGGGATGAGTCCACCCAGATACCTCTATTCACAGGTCCTGGCTGTGGCGGGGCCTGTCAGAGAGCAGCATGGATGAAAGAAGCTAGAGTGGCCCACCCACTCTTTCCTCACACCCTGAGTTGCCCTTCATTTTGCAAACTGGCACAGCACCAATGAGAGAGATTATTTTCTATCTGGCTCTTTAGGTGAAAATAGCCCTTAGGTCTGAGGATGAGGTCAGGCATAGATACTGGATTGGAAGACAGAGGCCTGAGGACCTGTCCAGGGTACCCTATGTGTGCATATGTGTTCCACAGAAGTGACCTGGGACGCATTGGGAGAGGAGTTAGAAAATAGAGCAAGCAGGGGCTGGGGATTTAGCTCAGCGGTTCGGTGGCCTGCCTTGCAAGCGCAAGGACCTGAGTTTGAGGATGAGGTCAGGCATAGATACTGGATTGGAAGACAGAGGCCTGAGGACCTGTCCAGGGTACCCTATGTGTGCATATGTGTTCCACAGAAGTGACCTGGGACGCATTGGGAGAGGAGTTAGAAAATAGAGCAAGCAGGGGCTGGGGATTTAGCTCAGCGGTTCGGTGGCCTGCCTTGCAAGCGCAAGGACCTGAGTTCGATTCCTGGTACCAAAAAAATAAAAAATAAAAAAAAAAAGAAAATAGAGCAAGCAAAAGATCAAGAGGAAGGCTGGGGGTTTAGCTCAGCGACATTGTACCTGCCTCACAAGTGCAAGGTCCTGAGTTTGATCTCCAGTACAAAAAAAAAAAGATTATAAGGCTTGGAGAGGTGCAGATGCTTTTGCCATTTTTTGTTTGTTTTGTTTTTTGAGACAGAGTCTTGCTATGTAGTCCAAGCTGGCCTTGAACTCACTGTGTAGCCCAGTTTGGTCTCCAACTCACAGTGATCCTCCTGCCTCAGCCTCCTCCTGAGTGCTGGGATTACAGGCAAACATCACCTCACCTGGCTGAGGTGCAAATGATTTTGAATAACCAGTGTATGTTTACTCTTAAAAGAGACTTCTGTTAAAAAGCAAAATAGCAGTAGTTTTTATAGTATAGTAATTTTGTTTTTTGAGTGAAAGTCCCCAGAGCAAAATTATATGATTAAAATTGGATCCAAGGTGGTTGTACTGCTGTGACAGTCTGTACACAGTCCTTTGCACGGTCTGTGCAACTCTGAGGGACATGGTCCAGGAAGGACCATTTCTATTACCTACAAGCCTGATGTCCAGCACTGTGTGGAAACTGCATCTTGTATTAGTTGGCTTTTCATGCTTTGAGTGAATACCTGGGGCAGGATACTTGAGCGGGAAAGAGGTTCATTCACTTTGAAGCTTTGGAGGCTGTCAGTCCAAACCCCATGGCACAGGCCCTGCAGGGCCCAGGGTATATGTAGGAGCACAGTGGGAAGGCCAATCACTTGGAGTTAGTGTGGCCAGCCCAGTTTTTACAATAGCACACTCAGGAATTTACTCCCTGAGGCCTGGTTCTCATCCCAGGGTGGTGCCCCGGTGATTAAATGCATGGTTGTAATTAAAGAAAAATGTGTATTTTGCTTTTCTCTTCAGTTCATCATATCTTTTTATCAGACCGGCGGGGGATCATTAGTCCCTGTGTTCTAGAGAAAAATCCAGTCTTGACACAGAAGAGCAGTGTGAAGGTAGAATCAGGAGGATTTATTGCAAAATGAAACAATGCAAAGTGAAAGTACACCCCATACGTTGTTGTAGTTGCAACAAATCCAAGTTGAAGCTTTATATGATTTTTGTGAGGATGTTCTGTCTTTTCGGGCTCACCCAGTTATCGTTAAAATATTAAATCTTAGGGCCAGGGATTTAGCTCAGTGGTTACACTGCCTGCCTTGCAAGCACAAGGACCCGAGTTCGATCCCCGGTACCAAAAAAAAAAAAAAAAATTAAATCTTAGCTGAGCATGGTGTCACGCACGTGTAATCCCAGGGCTCTAACAGGCTGAGACAGGAGGATGGTAAATCCGAGCCCAGCCTGAGCAATTTAGCGTGACCTTTTTTTAAAAAGAAAGAAAAATGTTTGTTCACTTGGTAAAAGGCATTACTAAAAGACTTGTACTTAGCGGGGTTTAACTGTACCCGTATGGCTGACAGACTGCGTAGAATGAGCTTGGAGCAGATGAAGTCTAGAAGAGCGCAGACGCCCCCTACCGGCCGCAGCGGCCCGTGACGCGGGTGGGTGCGCAGCGCGATGCGGAGGTGTAGACATCTGTTTTCCCCAGCGTGGGAGCCGAGCAAAACACTGGCAAGGACAGACACTGCGCAGGCGCATCACAGTCACAGATCCTGCGCGGGCGCCTCGCGATGGGTGTGGGCTGAGCGCAGGCGCACTGCTGACCTGAACGCAGGTTGCGCCTGCGCATGCACTCCTCAGACGGCTGCCATGGCTGGACAAGAGGATCCGGTGCAGCGGGAGATTCACCAGGACTGGGCGAACCGGGAATACATTGAACTCATCACCAGCAGCATCAAGAAAATCGCGGACTTTCTCAACTCGTTCGGTCAGCGGTCGAGCAGGGAGGCGGGGATGGGGAGGCCGGCGGGGGAGGCCGGCGGGGGAACCCGGGGGACGACTC